GGTCGGGAAATTAGGATAAAAGGGGGGCTGCGTCCCCCAGCAATTTGAGAGACCCGACAGGGATATGCCCGGTGGACTCTCCCTTTATTCAAATAAAGTTTTAGGACTCCTCTGTCTCCTTTTGGACATTCAGTTCTTGACAGCGAGATTTTCCGCACAGTAGTTAGCTTTTAAACATAGGCTGATAAGATAAAGGTTAAAGTGTTCTTGTGTAATACAGGCTTTAAAAGCCAAATTTGACATTTTCTTGTAATTACTTAGAATCATTTTGTTTTTCTTGTTGTTCTGGGTTGTTTTTTACTGTGTGTAAAGCTAGATGCCTTAGCCTCCAAGAAACGGCATACACAACCTTCCACATTGTGAGTCAGTACAGCTGAACCCCTCTCCTTTAGTCACTGGGCTAACTAGCCAATGCAGAGATGCCTTCCTTGGGAAACACCAGCCTTCTGGCCCAAAATTTAGATGACTTTAAACACTGCATTCAAACTTCAGAGTTATGACACAGCTGGAAACTCAGGGATTAAGTAATTTAAAATCTAAAGTGCTTAAAGATGACCAGCCTTGTTCCAAGGCTTGACCTAAATCATGCTAAAAACAAGCTTCATCAGACAATCCACAGCTTAAAATTATTATGCAAATTTCATTTTAAATCAATTTTATAAATTCACACTTCCTTGAATCTCATTTTAGCCCTCAAAATAAACCACATAAGCACAAAATGAGTTAATCATTTTTCCATGTTCTTAAGTCAAATTATTTGTGAGAAGTGTGTTATGACGGTGTTTCTTTAAAGACTATTTTGAATATATCTGAGCTACCCAGTTCCAACATTTCTAAAAATTGTTGCTGGCTTTAGAGCAAGCATGGAAGTTTTCTGATGCTTACTGCTGTATTCTTTCTACTTTGATAATTCCGGCCCTCTCTGAGCCGCTTTCCCCTCTATCTGTAATGTCTGGGCAGTAGCATTTCCTTCTATAGGAAGAAAACCATCCCACATCTGTTCACTTAGTTGACTCATCATTTGTTTTCAGAGTGGTTGTCTCCAGTGTCCATATCTATTCATCCTCCTCTTTTTTTCTTAGGCTTTATTTTTCTCTCTTGTGTTTGAAAATAGATTATGTAACTCTAAAAATATTTTGGAATTCAGCCTGTATGAAAACCACTATGCAAAGAAACTATTATATCAAGGTGTACTGCATTTCTGGCACACTCGTATAAGAGAATGAATTAGAAATCCATCATTGGTAAACTCCAGTGAGAAGTATGTTATCACAGGGAAGGGTAAGTATTGAGGCCCTTGTTACCTAAGAATTTCATTAGCAGTGTAGAGAAGGCACATATCAGTGAGTCATGAGCAGTATGACTCTCTGTGAATCAGGGTAGATTCCAAAACATAGCTGTTGCGTATAGTTTGAATATTTTATTCTTATCCTTGCACTGATTTTTACAAGAGCTTATTACAGCGTAAAAAACAAGAAGTTTGTTACTAATTTATATCTCTTCTAAATGAAGAAAATAATATACAGGAAATGTATATACAAGAAATGATGTCCACAGAGAAGTCTGAACAAAACAGCATAAAATAAACCTTCTAAAGGCACTGAATGTATTAGAAGAGTCAGTAGATTATTATCCAAGATAAATTGCAAATAAAGTGAAATGACAAAAGTGGAGTAACGTAATACATTGCCTGAACAGCTCTTCATTGCTTCCCATCAAAAAGTAACAATTTTGAAGCAGAATGACTTGTGATAGTAGACTGCGCATGAACTGGATATGAACTTGTAATGTAATGCCATTGCAACGATCACTAGTACTAATATGGGATACACGTGTGTAAGGATCTAATGTAGAAATTGGACTTTTCCAGAAGTTAGGAGCAAAAATTTCTGGCATATTTCAGTTAGTCCTACTTCCTGTAAGTCGTTAATTATGGAATAACTACTACAGGCATACACAAGCTGGAAATGCAAACAGAAGAAAGGAGCTCATATAGTTGGAAGGACATGGGACAAGCAACAGAATTGGAGAATTAGAAGGAAAAGCCTTATGCTGGATATGGATAAGGAATTTGCTAGATTTAGAATAAAGCTTTTTTTTTGTTTGTTTGTTTTTTTAACTTGGATGCTATTACCCTAACGGCTCAAAGCAGAGCAATTCCTAAGTTTAAAAGCATTTATGGAGGGAAAGATGATGTTCAGTGCTAGATACAGGGCAATGTGCTGTTCTTCAGACCAAGATGGTGTGTGTGTCACCAAATAAAACATTCATATCCATGGATTTGTTGCAAAATAATCCCTTTTATCAGTGGCTTCCCTACTTACAGCAAGTAATTATCCCTTGGTTAAGAACAGTGGCCAGGAGAACTCCCAGGCATATAAGGTTGGTGAGTAGAAGAGGAGCACTGACAGAAGCAGGAAGCCTGAGGGAAGGTGAACAGCAATCAGTAACGTGTGATCAAAGAAAGGAATGACTCATTATTACAGGGCTGACATTCCCCTAAATTTCCCTTTTTGTCCTCTGCTACAGTTATTATGCCACAGTGGATCTCGATTTTGTGCAGTCAGTTTAGGGCTTGTATAATACTCAATTTGAAGTGCAAGAGTAGGCCCAGTGGAGGAGAACCTGCAGGAGATATCACCTCAGTTAAAATTGGTCACTTATAGCCACCGTGGGCTAATTATTCATTATGGAAGTAAATGCTTTTTAACTTATGTTGTTTCTTTTTCAATAAGTTTCCTTTAATGCATCCACAGCTATGTTATTCCATGTTAAACTAATTAAAGTACTTCTTTTGTTGAACCTGGAAGCAAGAGGCAATTCCTGCTTTCAGTTGTGCTACTCAAGACCAGTGATCAAAACTCAGTGATTTTTAACTAGCCCATTTCTAAACAAGAAGCAAATTAAGTATTCCAGATTAATTTAGATGTAACCCTTGACTCTACTAGGATTCATGGGCAGGAGGAAATCAGGTCTGGCTCCCAGCCTCTCCACAGCTCATAAGGGTTGTGCTTCTTGGCCCTTTTATGATTCCCTGATGTTTTCTGCCTTTTCCACCTGCTGGGTCCCAGAGCACACCCCTGTGATGGGCACTGGGAGCCAGCACAGGGCATTGGTCATGTCGCCTTACTGCTCATCTGCCCAGAGGTACAGGAGCAGATCAACATTGCCATGTCACCCCTTGCAAGTGGAAATACATTTTAGGCAACTGACTTTTGGCACCAAGCTGCCTTTTTACATTTGTCAAATACAGACTGCCCCAATACATATTCTGTATGGGTCAGGGCGTCTCCTGCGATGTACTCCAGTGTAAATTTGTGCATTCATTTTGAGGAAGACAGAAGAATAAAATAATTATAACAGTAGAAGAGCAGGAGGGCAGAAAGGAGAGTTGTTTATAAGAGGAGGAAGCAGTGGCAGCAGAATGCCAAATAGCCTTCTCTAGCACCTGGATGAAACAAGTTGTTGTAAAAGCTCATAGCAGCACCATTAAGAGCTCCAAATGCAATTTTATAATAGTCATTTGTGGTACAAAGGACTGCTATAAAGGTAAGTGGTGATTAAAAAAATGTTAATGTACATAAATACTAATTTATTATGGACATCTCAAGAAAATGACTGCTCAGAGTATATGGCATATAAGTATGAGTATAAGAGCACAGTCCCTGTGCTGTCTTTGCAAGTGCTTTTCATAATCGAAATTAGAAAATTCATTATGAAGTTAAGAAATGTACAACAAGTGCAAACACAAAAAACAGTATGCTATTCCAGACCAGCTATACTGGTAATCTGCCATAAGAGAGGGGACATAAATTAGAGCAACTGTAGCCTTGCTTCTCTTTCATACTCAACCCAGCATTGTGAGTGGCCCCAGCACAGAGCTCTCCCTCTCATCCGAGCTGGCGCCAGGCAAAGTGGCTCTGTGCTGTTACTCACAGCGATTGTGGGCTGCTCTTCCTCATGAAAGAGTGCAGAACTTGCTCAGTGTCAAATCCCAGCAGCTGCCTTCCGAGTGCTGCTACTTCATCTTTGCGCGTGTTACATTAAAACAGCCTGTATGTACAGAAGCTCGCTCTTAATTCACATGCTCTCGGTGCTTCGGCAGCTGTTGCATTACAGACATTGCAGACTGGTGCTGCAGAGCAGAGGAACTTTGAAAGACCTAACTCACCGAGACAATATATTCAGCTAGTGTTTGCTCTTTTAAAATTGATACAATTGATTTCACCTTGTGATCCGTATAGCTTGTTTGTATTTCAGTCTTAATTTTCAGCGTGAAAAGGCACACAGTACTAAGGCAGTACTTGTTCCCACATAAAGCAGTAATGTTTGCGAGTTGTGAGACCATTTAATATGGACTATACCCTTGAGCAAGTCACTGACTAAATAGTTTTATCCATATCCGAAAGTTTCTGTTCTTCAGACGAATTCATGGAAATTAATGGAAAGATGGAAGAAATGTGTTACTTCTGAGAGTACAGATTGCATCCTAACAGAAATTCAAATTCTGATTTTGGTTTAGTGGAAACCTTGAAGGATCACAAATTCTTTTAATAAACAGAATTGACAAAGAAGTAGCACATGAATGCCAGCAGAAGCTTAGACTGCTTTCTGTTTACAGACAACACATTAACATATTATGTATTTTCTCTGAAGGAAGTAGAAATTCGAAACAAAGACCTGGAAGGACAGCTGTCTGATCTAGAGAAACGTCTGGAGAAAAGTCAGAATGAGCAAGAAGCTTTTCGCAATAACTTGAAGACACTTTTAGAAATTCTTGATGGAAAAATATTTGAACTAACAGAATTACGAGATAACTTGGCCAAGCTAATAGAATGCAGCTAAAGGAAATGGAATTTCAGTGCCAATCAGCTTAAAGATGCACTGTCTCTCTTCATAGGACTGTGTTGGGCTCTGCATCAAAGTTGCACAAAATTAGGAAATGCTCCTCTAGAGGGCTTGTTTTAAATTTGAGTCATATTTGAGTGTAAAATTTAGAACTCAGCATGTAGCTAGTTGAAGAAAAAAACACACAAAAAACTTCAACTACAAATTACCTCCATGTACATTATTGGCCATAAATAACTTGAGAGATATTAACAGTAATTGAATGCAATCCTTTTCTAATTATTAGTGATGGAAGAATTAGCATTGTCCCAGGTCACAACCCCTTTTTGTTTTAGACACGCTATAAGTTATCTGCTGTTTTATTTATTTAATATATTTAATTACTGTGTTTTGTGCAAAAACTTAGTGATGACAGACCTGCATTTTGATGTAATCCTAATAATTTCTCAGGATACTTTGCACTGTTCTGAAGCAGTGCCATTACGAATTTATACTTGCCAGGAGTGAGAGAGAGTTGCATCTTTAATTGAAACATAGTTACTATACCTGCTTGTATTAAGTTCTTCCTTCATGTTTTTTTGATTGTTTTCTTTGTTTGTTTGTTTGTTTGTTTTTTTAATATATATGCACACACACACACACACAGGAAGATAATGTATTTCTTTATGAAGCTTACTCTGGTGTTCTACAATATTGTCCAGTGTAAGGTTTACTTTTTCATACAAATTCCATGTAATTACAGTGGGATACTATCTTCCACTTTACTATATATTTTGAAGCCAACCAATGATGGCAGGTGAGTTCCTTAAGAAAAAAAAATTAAAATGTAAAATTTGACTTGCACAGACAAAAAGAAATAGCCAGTAATTTATTTTCTGCCATTATTAAATATCAAATATATATGTTCAATTATCTGTTAACCTGTTTTGCAGTAGACTTTTTTGTTATGTCACATGAATTTCAGATTTTGTGAATAATGGCTTATGGGGAGCATTGTTTATGATAGAGATCATTAAGGGCATAGAGCTT